GCTATCAGGACTTGAAACAGCAGCAAATGTCTCTCCAAGTATGTTGCAAATATCGGCTGGATTTGAGAAGGTGGTACCGTTCTTTACAAATATAGGGTAATGAACATCGCGATATATGCCATTTGCTCTCTTTACTCTCGACCAGACTTGTCTGGGAGATGTCGTAGATGTTACTGATGACACATATCGCTTCCAAGACTCCCTCTGACTATTGCGGCGGATCTTGCGAGCAAACGCTTTGGCTCGTTTGAAAGCCAAAAGGTTTGTCGTTGAGGGGTAGCGACGGAAAACATTCCAAAGCCGTTTCTGCTCCTTGTAAGCAGTGCAACACTCTGGACTCCACCAAGGCTTACGATGACGAGGAAGAGAACTCGAAGTCTTTGGAATACTGTCTTCAGCAGCTTGCATAATCACAGATGTTACTGCCTCAACGGCAGTATTTAAGTTGTCCTGTGTTNTGTATATGTGTGTTTTTTTGTAAAAGTTGAAGGCATGAGAGGGGGCCGCATGTTAGACAAATAATAGAAGTTAAAAGGTATGAGGTTCGATTTTCCGTCGTCGATCTCATGCATTCAACTTGCGTCGGTGACGTCATGGTCTGCGGGGATCGGCCAGTTTATTTTCATTTGCTGTTGGTCGTTCTTGCGTGGATCATGACGTCACCTGTTATCTGTATTTAAGCTTCTGTTGAAGCAGATCATTTTGTATTCTTTCTTTTCGTCACTCTGTTTGTGACATTCTTTATTACTAATGTTTTTAAATAAACTCATTTATTCAGAAACTTCGTTTCTCTTTTATTGTTGACATGACAAATATGATATTCTGCGAGAATCTCGGCTGTCACGAAATGCTCCACTACATATGCGTAATGCCGTATGATGCACCGTATCTAGACGTTTTAAGTTAGATGCAGAAGCCGTTCCATAGACTGCACAAGCGTAATCTAGGCATGAAAGTATTAATGCTTGATACAAACGGAGTAAAACTACATGATCCGCACTCCATAAGGTGTTTGAAAGTACTCGCAACATATTTAAGGTTTTCTCACATCGTTTTCTCAAGTGTAGAATATGAGGTAAGAAAGTGAGTTTTTCATCAAAAATTACACCTAAAAATTTTGTTTCTGACACAACTGGTATGACAATATTATTAATGGAGATTACAGGATGAAGATGAATGTTATGCAACCGACAAAAGTGTATACAAGAACATTTATTGGGTGAGAGAGTATGCCTGTTTCGATCACACCATTCTAAAAATCCTATTAATAGCAAGCTGCAGTTGACGTTCGATAACGCGCATATCTGATCCTGCGCATGACACATTTAAGTTATCAACATAAAGTGAACCAAATACGGTAGGTGGTAAAACTTGTAAGATGAGCGAAACACGAACAATGAAAAGTATGACGCTTAAAACACTGCTTTGAGGAACCTCTTCAGCCTGAATAAAAAGGTCGGAAAATGTAGTACCTAATTTCACCCTAAAATACCGTTTCAACAGGAAGTTCTTCAGGAAGATGGGTAGATTACCACGAACTCCCATATCGTAAAGCGTCGTAAGGACTCTGTATCGCCATGTCCGATCGTAAGCCTTCTCAATATCAAAGAAAATAGAGACAAAATGGTTACGTCGGACAAAAGCGTTACGAATTCGAGACTCAAGAGCTATAATATAGTCACTCGCGGACCTACCCTTCCGAAAACCGCTCTGGAAATCAGGAATATGATGGTTCTTTTCCAAATAATACACAAGGCGGGCGTTGACCATGCGCTCAAGTGTTTCACTGAGACAGCTGGTTAACGCTATAGGGCGATAATTAACTGGGTCTTTCGAATCTTCGTTTGGTTTTAAAATAGGTATTATAATAGCCTCTCGCCAATTTGAAGGGTACGTGTATTCCTTCCAAATTCTATTAAAAAGGATAAGTATATTAGATAAAGAAGCAGCATCCAGATGGCGGAGCATGTGGTACGTAACTCCATCTAATCCAGGGCTCGTGTTTGCAGCTGCTGAAAATGATCGCTGTAATTCTGCAAAAGTAAAATCGTGATTATACGGAAATGAAAATGGATATCGCGGCGTTCAGCATTACGTTTATGATTTTGGAAAGCTAAATTATAGCTATCAGGACTTGAAACAGCAGCAAATGTTTCTCCAAGTACGTTGCAAATATCGGCTGGATTTGAGAAGGTGGTACCGTTCTTTACAAATATAGGGTAGTGAACATTGCGATATATGCCATTTGCTCTCTTTACTCTCGACCAGACTTGTCTGGGAGATGTCATAGAAGTTACTGATGACACATATCGCTTCCAAGACTCCCTCCAACTATTGCGGCCGATCTTGTGAGCAAACGCTTTGGCTCGTTTTAAAGCCAAAAGGTTTGTCATTGAGGGGTAGCGACGGAAAACATTCCAAAACCGTTTCTGCTCCTTGTAAGCAGTGGAACACTCAGGATTCCACCAAGGCTTACGATGACGTGGAAGAGAACTCGAAGTCTTTGGAATACTGTCTTCAGCAGCTTGCATAATCACAGATGTTACTGCCTCAACGGCACTAGTTAAGTTGTCCTGTGTTACTATGGTATCGGTGATTTGAGCTAATTGAGTGTATTTAGGCCAGTTAGAGCGATGATATATGAATGTTGATGGTTTTGAGTTTATGGGAATGTTAACGGAATATGAAACTATAAGTGGAAAGTGATCGCTGTTAGGAAGATCATCGCTAACAGAAAAGTTTATGAAAGGCAGGAGTACAGGTGAACAGAATTCTAAATCGATAAAGTGAAAGGTTCGCGTAGGTGAATGAAAATATGTTTCTTCACCTTGGTTAAGTAAGCAGAGGTTATGATCCTGAATTAGTTTTTCAATTTTCCGCCCTTGATCATTGGAATCTACCCCACAATTCACCATGTCCATTAAAATCACCAAGTATTAGAAAATGTGAAGGTAACTGATTAATCAACGAATTTAAATCTGTTTGAGAAATTGAAGCATGCGGAGGCAAATAAATAGTGCAGACTGTGAGCAAAATATTTGTGTGAACTTGAACAGCCATGGCCTGTAATGAAGTTGACAAATGGTAAGTAGTACCATTTGTCAACCAAGTAGATGGTAAGTAGTTAGAAGTTAGGATGGCAACACCACCATTAGGCCTGCTGCCACCACCATGATCTTGTCGAAAACAAGAAAAATTGCGCAAGCAAAAAGTATCCGATGTAATTAAATGTGTTTCTTGAATTGCAATACATATGGGTTGATATTTAAAACTGGTGTCTTGAACATCAGAAAGTTTATTTTTTATTCCACAACAATTCCATTAAATAAAATAAATAGACACTATGAAAATAATGAAGATGATTTCATATGAACGTCAGATGTAGGGGGACAGTCAACAAGGCATTCTTCATCGGAAGAAGGACGCAATGAAAGTTCAAAATCATCATTTGTATTTTGTAAAACATCAGAAGTAGGTTTATTTATATATTGGAGATATTTCGGATCTTTTTTTTTACGTGACTGACCTGGCTGTAATTTTGTAATTGGTATTTGATCGTTGTTTTGGAAAAGGGTGACAGTTTTCAGTTTTAGAAGTTTTTGAGGGAGGTGGTGATGTAGTCCTATGGGATGTCGATGGGTTCATAAAATTAAATTTCGGTTTTCCAGATGTTTGCTTGTTTTGTTGAAATAATGTTACCTTTGGAGAATCTGTTTGCGTACTGACAGAGCAATATGAAGTTTTTATAGCCGCAGAATAAGACACGCTTGGAAGGGGTGTTCGGGCGGTGATTATTCGGCGGGCTTCAGTAAATGTAATGTTTTGTAGGACTTTAATTGATTGAATTTCCTTCTCTTGAGACCATTTTGGACAACTTCTAGCATAAGCTGCGTGATCATCCTTGCAGTTGATGCAAAGAGGTGGCAGCTCGCAGGAAGTGTCCTCATAGTCTGCACTAAAGCAACGGGCACACACCGGTCGACCATGGCAAGATGTTTTTGAGTGCCCAAACCTTTGGCAGTGACAGCAACACAAAGGATTTGGGACCGAATCGGTCCCAAATCCTTTGGGAGGTTGAACAGGGCAGTTCATCCAAGCCATTTTGACTCCAGATGGCAGTTTAGGTGAGGCAAAAGTCAGGATGAGATGTTTTGCCCTCCCTACGAATCTTAATTCTTTGGATATCAGTAACTTGAGATTTGAATTTTCTAAAATCATTTCTTCTGTATCGTTAAGGAATTCCATTTCAGATATGACACTGCGCGAGGTTTTCAACGATTTATGAGGCATTACAATTACGTTAAATGAACACAGTTTCACACGTTGATAATAAATATAGTGGCTTGTTTTGAAGAGGAAACTTCAACTAAAAGATCACCTGAACGTAGCTTTTTAACTGAGGCAACTTCTCCCAGGATGGAAAGAAGTGCCTTGTGAATCAGAAATGGCGAAACGTTAGTAAATGAAGTATTTGGCATATTTGGGTTGGTTAGAGAAATCAGAAAATAACGAGCGTAATAACATGGTGCAACGGATGTTCCGCTGCTTTTGCATTGGTGTGCGGAACTCAACACCGTACTATCTTCAGCCATAGAAAATAAAAACAGTTCTACTACCAGCCGCATCACCCACAATGGAGTCCTACAAAGGGGATGCAAGTTACAAAAATTTGTCACTTAACACCAATGCTAACCAATAGCTATACATTTCGTAAATAGCTATATGTAAAATTTTATTTCAATAGGGATTTTTTAGGCAACATACTGAATTTTAAGAAATTTTTTAAAATGTATAAAAACTAGAAAGAATTTTTATTGAACCACTGGAGAAGGAGAAACTAGCAAAATCCAGTAGAGTTGGCAACTATGGATTGTAATAAAGTTACACGAAGGAAGGATAAAAAAAAAACATTTTTGCAAAAATACTCAAGCATAAAAATTTAGGTCAAGAGTTTTAACAATTTTGATTAGACATTGATAAAATAAATAACAAAAACTAACTTTAATATCTTTAACTAGAGTAACAACTCTCTTCCCAACTTCAGATGTAGGTTCGATGGCTTCCCGGAAAAAAGCTTCAGCAACTATGTGGACAATTCTAGGCAAGTTACGGTTCTCTGGCCCCAGGAGAGGTGCATTATTCCTAAAAATGCAGATTAACATTTACAAATCATCACAATAGAATAAGAATTGGATAATATTTTGCATTCGAAAAGGTATTTATGTCCGTTTCAACAAATAGTATCACAGCATGGGTAGAGTAAGAGAAAATGTATCATTCTATAGTGACTTTCCCCGTGGTAGAATCGCAGCGACACGACAACATTATCACAGAATATTACAGAGTTCTTGCAGAAAAAAATTTCTTCTGAAAGGTAAAAAAAAATTATACCACTTTTCGTTTCTACATAAATTTACACGATATACTCGAATCATGCATTTAGATAATCGCTTTTTGACATTTTAAATTTACGCCGATAGTATCCTCAATCGATGTCATGTTTCGATTGTATCTTCGGCAGTTATAGATTTTTAAGTGGATTTTAAACATCCCAATACATTTCAAACGATATAGAAAATTCGAATCGTGCATTTCAGTATTTACTTTTTAAGGCAAAAATTCTATTGAATTTTTGGCAGTTATTGCTATAGATTTTTTCATAGTTTTTTAATCAGTTTTTTTTTTAAATACGATATTACTTATTATAGCAACCTAATCTCAGAACAAAGCAGACATTTGAGGATTGCTCACCAGCTAGATAACAATTTTTTTTGTGCGCAAAACGAAGAGTACTAAGAAATAAAAGTTAACACATTTTTGTTACTACGTTTTATTTTTCAGTCATTTTTGTCTATCATTTCATTGGTCTTTATTTAAATAATGCCAGGTTGCACAGCCAAATCTTTCAACAAAAAACAAGCACATTTTATGTACTTTTTAAGCATTAAAAAATATTTCTAAGCACTATATACATTAACAAAATTCAAAATATTTTACAGGATCATGACAAAATAACTAGTTTCTGACAAAGAACATTTTTCTTGCTTATATTGTAGTGATCGATACATTGTAAAATGATTGAGAGATTTTTCAGTTCGATATCAGAAGGAAGAAAATGAACCCTGAAATCGTGAATATCTTGCAAAATGCAGCAGAGTTGCACATGAAAGTGCAATAATCTCACAGAACTCCGCTCAGTAGGCGCACATGCGGACTCGTAAGTATTTCATCCAACATGTAAAGTGATTGGCGTTTTTACACGCTATGAACCAACAGTACGACGAAATAGATTGTGTTTGAATAAATTGTGAATAGCGTTGAACGGGGCGAAAATCAACATAGTAAAAGAAACAAAATCTCAATCTCGAAAAAGGTAAATTAAGCACTTTTTAAAAATGCCCCATGAAAAAAGCACCTTTAAGGGCTTTTAAAAACGAAAAGAAGCACCTTTAAACACTTTTTAAAAATGCTAGGCACTATGATAGCGTAATAAAAGGGAGAGTTTAGAGCTTTTAGTTAAAATTGTTTGCAGAACGGTTATAGTGAAGTCCCAGCAACAGTGAACCAAAATTTCAGTCCCTAGAACAGGGGTAGGCAATGCGCCTTCGCTGGGCTAATGTAAATGTATGATAGCCAGAGCAATTTACTTACTCTTGTCAAACGGCGATATACAGCAAGTAGTTGGTTGAGTTTAGGATTGAGCATAGATTAGCAGTTTGCTAACCTTGAGTGTATCTAATAACACGCACATATTTTTTGTTAGAGTGTGATCATATTTCGAATAGACCACGCGTAGACCGTGCATTTAAAACTACCAAGTAATCCGAAATAATTCTTTTCTTTCAAAACCCTTTGTTGAAAGCGATGAACTGGATCCTAAATTAAACAGTGATCTAGTTTCGCCACTGATGTAGTTTCTGACGCATCAGCTAGGTTAACTGTGACTGTATTGTAACTTTAGTTTCAGTTTGCTTTTATGTTTGAGCTTCTATTTGTTTATCTTTGGTATAATGCTTCTTTGCTATGCTTTAAATAATAAACGTTTTTAAGTCTAATAATGTTCTGTTTCTTTCTAAAATAGAGTTGTTATAGTTCTAGTTTTTTCTGTTTTAACACCCTTCATGGATAAATGTAAAAGAAAAAGAACATATTATTTTAACGATGAATGGGAACATCTATATTGTTTCGTTGATTACAAAGGGAAGTGTATTTGTTTGTTGTGTAATAATAGTGTTGCGATTCCCAAGAAAAGTAATATTGAACGACATTTTAAGACTGTTCATACCAATTTTGATAGTGACTATCCAATGAACTCTGAAATTAGAAAGAAAAAAAAATATTTCTTTAAAATCTTCAATAACTAACCAGCAGAGTTAAACCACTGCAACAACACTTCTTTCAAATTTAGGTTTTTAACATTGTTATAAAATTTGCTCCTTTACAGTAAATAATAAAAGCAATAACAATAAAAATAATAATAAAATTCGATTTAAAACAAACTCGTTATCGCAGAAAAGATAGTTTTTCAGAATGTTTTAAAATAGCTACAATAATTTCTGACATTTAACAGTGTGAGATTAACAAATACTTTTATCTACATATTTATTTTTTTAAAAAGTATAACAAAAATATTAAGAGATTTAAAATGAGACAATTTTTTTTTTTATAATTCTTTTTCAATTATTATTACAAAGTTCAGAGCCAGATTTCTCAAAAAAAAAAAAAAAAAAAAAAAATTTTTAATAAGCANAAAAAAAAAAAAAAAAAAAAAAAAAAAAAAAAAAAAAAAAAAAAAAAAAAAAAAAAAACTCATAATTAGGATTTGTGCAGTAATAAAATTATTTTTTATATCGTTTAAAGTTTTTAACTTAGAAACGAAAAATCAATAAAATTTCAAAACAATTTTCAAAACCTTTACATAATCATGATAAAATAACTAGTTTCTGATAAATATTGCAGTAGCATTTTTTAGGATCTGTTGATTAGACCCCACAGACTGCCTGTAACATAAACCTTTAAAGCAGAATAGAGGAAGAAAACAGAAAGAAGTCTTACGATTCTAGGAGAGTGCAGAGTACGTTGAAAACATATTTTGCTTCTTCCTCATCTTCCCATATGGGCAGCCACGTTATCCATACGGGTATTATCTCATCTGCATTGACGGATGGATTATTTGACATAAATATTTTGGTTATGCTTGAGATGGCGTTTTCTGTCGCTCTTTCATTCTCTTCAGATCGAGACTCGGGAGCATTAATCATCTGGATTAAAAGGGGCAGGCACTCTACAAAAACAATCAATGATGTCGCATAAGTTAGTTTTTATACATAAAATGAAATACTAAAAAAAGTAAAACACATGTAAGATCAGGTAGATTTCTAAATAATAATAAAAAAAGAAAGTAAAACAGGCATAGAATGTAGTTCATTCACGTTGAACTAAAGCTGCACAATGACAGGGCTGCCAGTGCCGGATTAAGCGCTCGTGGGGCCCTAGGCCATTCAAATTTTTGGGGTCCTTAGATTAAATTTTTTTTTCTCGTATATTTTTTATTTATTCAAATATTAAAGTATTTATATATCTTTTCATTTAAGAAAGTACATTTAAAATTAAAATAAATTAAATTTTACTTTATTTTGTTAAATTAGAACTAAAAAATGATCATAACCTTTAGAAAAAATTTGAAATTCATTAACGCTTTACAAAATCAATGTTACTATAAAATTGGTATACAAAATCTTTTTTCTGCTCTTGCGATCAATAAACTCATCTATAATGTTATCAACTTCACGGAGAACATCTGATTCAATAAACATCAAACTTAGCATGTCTAATCGTAGCACGTCTCTGCTCAGTCTTGATTCGTTTCATTTTTGAAAATGAGCGCTCTGTAGAACAATTTGTTAGCATAAGAGTTAGAAAAATGCGAAGAGCAGTCAAAATGACAAATTTGAACTTAAGAAGCATTGATAAATCTTATAATACATAAACTATAATACTCATAAATAACTAAATTAAGTAATAAATAAAAATGATTAACATAATGTAAAAAAATCCTCGTATTTTTTTAATATATATTTGAAATTGATTATTATTTCTTTTTTTTAAATCATTGTTTTTCTTATTTTTTTAAGATTTATTTTCAAAAAATCTGTTTTAAGGAGGCCCTATGGCCTAGTCTGGCCTAATGGGTATCACTTAATAAAATTCCCAGACAGATTTTATCAAACTTCCCTGATTTTTGTAATTTGTGGCAAAAGCTTAAAATAAATAACAAAACACTTACACCTGCCATTAGAGTAGAAAATAAGCTATTTTTAGTTCTGACTTTTTTTTTTTTTTTTTATAGATTGATTTAGAAATAAAAATTCCTGACATTAATATGACTCCCTGTCTTTTCCCTGCTCTTTGGTCCCTCTGTTTCAACAAGAGAATTGATATATCACCAACAGATCAACTAATCATAAATAGCATTTGAAAAAATTAATACTTTTGGAACAGTGTTTTAATTAAATAAGATAATGTCATTAATATTCTGCTTTAAATAAGATAATTCTGCCATCTTATTAATGGAAATCATTAGCACTTAACATATCATGAATGGTCAAATGACTGTTTGAGAACTTTTGCATCGAAAATGTGATTATTATCTTATCGTTTTTGCACATTTGACTTCGTGACTTTTTCTAACAATTATATACAGTCAATATTCTATTATTATTTTTTTTATGTTGTTTGTTGTGAATAATACTTGTTGTATACCTATTTCTTCCACAACTGGTCATTTGGCCAAGAGAACAATTTATTGCTTTATAAGGTTATCGGATCTTAAATGAAGATGTAATGCACGTTCAACCTATTGCATTCGATCAGTTGCACATTTCTGCAAAGACTGTTGCGTCGTTAGTTCATTCAGAATAACTGTGAATTCAAATTTCAAGAAAGTACCTAAAATTTTAGATTGGCATTTTTGTGTCATAAAAAGTGGAAAAAAAAAAACTAAATGTTCTGGTACGTAGCTTAAATTTTATTTTGACAGCTTTATTTCATTTCTAATTAACTGTTAGTTTTTACTCAGAAAAATATCGAAACAATCAAGACATCACAAGTTCTAAGAAGAAATCATTTTAATTATAAGAATTACAGAAATAATAATCATTAGAAGGTATGTCTGCGGAAAATGTACAATGCCCTAAATATGTAAAAAATGCATTAAGCAATGAATTAAATTTTCTTTTTCTTTGTGCTTGACATACATAAAAATTGGCAATATGCAATTTTGTTTAATTATAAAGTTTATTTCCTTCCTAACAACCATATTTCATACATTCAATCAAGAAACATAAAGTACGGTCATTAAATCAAAAGCTATTCAAGGTGGTCCTTGTTTTTGATGCACTGTACATATAAGTTAGGTAAATACCTACAAAAAGCATCATTATACAATACATTTTACTGCTGTAAAATATATCCATAAATATGGTATACTGTAATCAAATATTTAGATTACTTGTAATCAAAATTATGAATGCTTGTAATCATGATTACAAGTAACCAATTACTGTAATTGACAAACACCATTCTACATTAAAGATAGTAAAACAGAAATGTACATTAGTCACCTGGTTGAAAAGAGGTAGTGCATTTGTTAAAAATGATTCACATTGATGATTTATTCACAAAAAAGTTCATTTTTTATAAATAATGCTTGAAAAAAACTATGCAACAAAAATATTTGAAATTGTATGTTAAGTTACAAAATTAAACCTGCACACAAATTTACAATACTGATATGTTCTAGATATATTGTTCAATTATCAAAATCAAAAAAATATTAATTTTATATATTTTTTGAGACAAAACTGTCAAGCACTAAAATCTTTCTGCAAGATACTTTTAATAACAAACAAACATATATGTTACTAATTTAATTTAATAAACAACTAACAAGAGTGCTGTGTTTACAAAAAAAAAATTTTTTTTTGTTGTTTAATTGAACATGTAATAATTTTTTATTCTAATATTACAGGTGATATTTTCGCATTTTGTTGAGGGGGGAAAGGTTGTACACAAATTATTTCCTTTGTATTTTGTAAATAATCATAACAATAAAAAATCATTAAATCCCTTTTCGGTAAAAAAAAAAAAGATCGATGACAAAATTACGCGAATTGGACTCGGCAAAAAAAAGGGCTACTCAAATGCATAATAAATAATTGTAATATTGCATAAAAAATATCAGATTTAAGAGCTAGTGAGAAATTAATAGCAATAACTGCCAACAATTCGATGGAATCATTGCCTTAAAAAGTAAAAACTCAAATACACGATTCGAATTTTCCATACTGTTTGAAATATATCGAGAAATTTAAAAACCACGTGTTAATCAATTTCAATAACTGCCAAAAATACAATCTAAGAAATTTCATCAGTTTACGATACTATCGTCGTAAATTAAGTACTTCAAAAGATGATTATCTAAATTCATGATTCAAATATTACACATAAACTTCTGAAGAAAAACAAAAATTCTTTACTTTTCAAAAGAAAAATCTCTCTGCAACGTTCTGCGACAATGACACCGTGTCGCTGAAATTCTGCCACGGAGGACAATATTAAAGAAAATAAATAATAATAATTAATGCAAAATAATGTAATCATACCTTTAGCACAGTAGTCTGTAAAAGTTGGACCACCGTGTTGAGCTAACACACCAACAGTAAAAGCCGCAGTTTGTCTCAAATCAGGACTTTCGTCTGCTACAGATGCTAAGATGGATGGAAGGAAATACTGTTGGTATTTTTCACATGCCTTAAGAAGAGGGGAAAAAAGGAAATAACTTATTAAAAATTTATATCACAATTTGCCAAAATAATTAAGTAACTGTCATTTCTGAAATAAAAACAAGAGACAATTTTAAGCAGGAAATTTTATTGAGTGTTAAAAAGAGTAAAATAACTCCAATAATAATTTAAAAATTAAATAAGGATATTTTTGTAGTAAATTAAACAAAGGTTTGCCAAAGCTTTTTTTAGAGGTAACTATTTTATGAAAATTTAGACATAATTTATAAAAATTAAAAATTATGTAAAAAAATAAACTCAAAAATATGGTAAAGTAAGAAAATATTTTCAAAAACTGACACTACAGATGAAAATTATTTATAGACTGGTAAATTTGTATAAATTTTACTGCATATATTCAAAATAATTTGCTATTGTAAATCTTGGGCTTAAAATTGCATCCATTTTTAAAAATCCATAAAAATCATTGTTCACAGTTTAAACTTGAATTTAATAAAAACATGCATTTAACACTACTAGCACTAAAAGTTATTTCCATTATGAGAACATTTTCGACTAGGTCATACAAAAAAAAAAAGTTTCACAGAGAAAATAATGTTTCTTAAAATATAAAAGTATGTTGGAATAAATTTATAATAGTGTTTAAGACAATGTTCCAATGTTTGAATTTTGACTTCCTGTAAAGTTTATAGAGAGCTCGTTTCATTTGAAAAAATTCAGTGAGAAAAATAGCTCGCTTTGATTTAGCTTAGGTGACCAGTCAGGCTTACCATACCACATTGCACTATCTGACCAAACACACACACACTTGCTACCTTTTCGTAAAAGACAGCTGGTCAAAAAGCTTTTTTTCTATAGATTGGAACGAGAACGAGTTCTGAATGAGAACTTGCTTTTTCAAAAGTATTTTGAGAAACTACTGTTTTTCCTAAAGTTGAATTTGTGAAGTTACCACAAAACAGTAGAGAATCTAACCTGTATATTAAAATAAAACTGCATCAAATAGTTAACGCAGTTTTCAAAATAGGTACATCTTAAAAACTAAATTTTTATAGATGTGGATGTACAAAAAATATTGCAAGGAAGTTCATGTGTGGAGGTAAGAACAACCGATGACTACTTACTGGTCCACAATATTCGATGATATCAGCAAATACACACAAAGACCATTGGCGATCCTGCCAGTTTCTCTGAGGATCCTACAATAAAGACAAATAGCACATCAAAAATCTAGAGAGGTTTTCTATTCTCATTTAAGAATAATGAAAAATTAAAGAATAATTAAATAAATAATAAAAAAATGGTTTTCTTTTCTGCAGAAGTTCTTCTCCCCCGCCAGAAGATGTTTCTCTCGCAAATTGGTGGGGGAGATAAATACTTGTGATTTTTTTATTCTTAATTGAGAATAATGAAATAAAAAATCTTGGTTTTCTTTTTTGCATGCATATTTATTATTATTCAAAGTATCTTGCAGAAAGATAGGTTGGTAGAGAGTCGATAAAATCCTGTCCCGGGGGTCAAAAAAATTTTTTAAAACAAGTTTTCACATTTATTGGTGACTTTTTGTTGGCCTGTTAATAAAAATGCACCAAAACGTAGCATGCACCGGCAGCTTTTTTTCCTATTGTTCAAAGATCCTCATATNAGTTTGAATAATCAAAAGATTTGTATTTCTGATGTAATATATATATATACATATACATATATATATATATACATATATATATATTCATAAAATTATCAAATTTCAAAACCATTTTCTAAGATTTTACATGATCATGACATACTTAAAAACTTTTGGAAAAGAATTTTGTTCTTGGTTTTATTAAACACCACAAAAACATTTAAAGCATAATTTTAAATTTATTGAATATATAATTACTCATTCTATTCCTTAGATTAATAATTACTTTATCAATAATTTAAAATTATAGTTAGCTATACCTTATTTAAAAATGCATACCTAAAAAACATTTAAAACATTAAAATAATTATTTACGAATTATTCATATAAACTCATTTTTGAACATAAAATGTTTACTGATGAAGTATTTTTATATTTTAAGGAGTTTAATTTTAAGTAAAAGTTTGTTTGAAAGAAAGCTAACATAAAATTATTAATTAAGATTGGACCATTCAATAAACAAACAATTATGTAAAAAAAGTACTAATAGGCAAGTTATAAAGATTAAGTTGGTTACCAATTCTGATCCCTACTTCGTGAGTTTCTTAAAAAAAAAAAAGTAATCTTATTCTTTTTTTCCCCTTCTGATTACAATCAGGGTGTTCCATGAATATCAAACATTAGTATATATTTTTAGAATCCGGAATTCCGAGAACTAAATATACACAATAAGAGAAAACAAAAAAAAGTATTTAGGACTCTTACCAAAAGCTTAATAAAATGTGGTAACAGCATCTCAAAGCAAACGAAAAATTCTTGTTTGTAGGTAGAAAATAAGGTACAGCAAATTTCTGAAATTTTACTTAGAATATAAACATCTTCATCATCCTAGAATAGAATAAAATAAAAAAAAGCATGCAATCAGATGTAAAACCATGAAATCAACTGATTATGTAACATTATCTGTTATGCCATTATTTTGAAACATAATATAACACATTGTGAAAATCAACATTTCCCTTTTCAAAAACAGACATTTACAAAAAGGGAAAATTTTAAACACTTTTTTAAAATAAGCAATTGAAAAAGCACTTTTAAAAAATGAAAATAAGCATCTTTAAGCACTTTTTAAAAACTCTATGCACTATGATCTAGACTAGTGGTCGGCAAACTTATTAGCCAAAGAGCCAAATATGAACATTACAACAATTTTTAAAAAAGTTAGGAGCCAAATCTGCTTGTTTAATAAACTTTTATTACATTAAATAAGTAGTACACTAAATTTCATACTTAATAAATATTTATTAATGCGAACAATGTGCTTGCATCTCCTTGGAAAGTTTGAGTAAGTCAGGTTTGTATGTTGTTTTTAATTTTAGGCCAATTTGTACCCCCACTACTTTAGAAAAAGTATGCGCGCATGCTTGTGGTACCTTTGTATCACACCGGAGTACGCCGAAAACATACGAACAATTTCAGCCGGTAGCTTGTACATGGTTTGTGTTTACGTTTACGAAAACTAAAAAAATTAAACTCGATGTTCGTTATGTATTTTTACAACAATATAAAATTCTAATTACCTATCTATCTTTTAACTTAAACAAAAAATTATACATGTTCTCGATTTACAGAAGAATTTTAATTTATCAAAATAAGATGTAATATTTTTTCTCACTAAGTTTTTTTTTTAATGGAAATATTATTGCACCTTCCGTGGATATTTGTGCCAGAGCCGCACTTAAGGAGCCAAAGAGCCAAATGCGGCTCTGGAGCCGCACTTTGCCGACCACTGATCTAGACAACTCTTTGTTCATAGAAGAAAAAAATATTGCAATAAATCCTGACACTACAAATTTACTTACAGTTAGGACAAAAGTGGGAGGAGAATCATGCTTATAGCAGTAAGGGATGGATTAGTATAAGAATAATAAATTTAACCTAATTATATAAATTTTTAGAATAAGGAAAAATGGAGTTCAAACAAAATAAACCTTAATTTTTATTCGTAAAAAAAAATTGTGATCACAGTGTCAAGGTTCAACACAAAACATACCAACACTTAATAGATATCTATTTCTACCATAGCCAGTCAAGTTAAATGCCGGTCACTTAGTTTCTTAATTAAATGTATGAAATATGGATGTTAGGAAGGAAATAAACTAAAAAAACTTAAACAAAATTGTGCATTGCCATTTTTCATGAACAAAGCCATTATGCCACAGAATTTTTAATTCATTGCTTAACGCATTTCTTACATATACAGGGTGCTTCCATTGTACATTTTCCGCAAACATATTTCTTCTAATAATTATTATAATTAATATTTCTTCCTGCTGTTTTGATTGTTTTGACATTTTTCTGGGTAAAAACTAGCAGTTAGTTAAAAATGAAGTAAAGCTATCAAAATAAAACATAAGCTACTTACAAAAACATTTAGTTTTTGTCACCTTTCTTCACGCAAAAATGTCAATCTAATATTTTAGGTACTTTCTTGAAATTTGAATTCACAGTTTCTCGGACTGAACTAACTATGCAACAGTCTTTGCAGAAATGTGCAACTCATAGAATGCAATACGTTGAACACGCATTACATAGTAATTTCTGATTCGATAACAAGAAATAAATTGTTCTCCCTGTCAAATGACCAGTTGTGGAAGAAATAGGTATACAAAAAGTATTATTCAAAACAAACAAAATACAAAAAAATAATAATAGAATATTAATTGTATATAATTGTTAGAAAAAGTTATGAAGTCAAATGTGAAAAAAACAATAAGATGAGTGCATTTTCGAAGCAAAAGTTCTTAAACGGTCTTTTGACCGGATATGGTATGTTTAGTGTTAAATGTAAAAATATTTAATACAGTACAGAACCCGTTATGCGGAATTCAGAAAACCGGGACGAAATTTGATACATTTTCCCGCCATTTAAAGAAAAAAAAAATTTTTTTCCTCACAAAATTTCAGGATTTTTCTTTTTTTTTTTGAAAGATGTTTACCTTACAGTCATTTTGGAAATAATCATTAGTGTATTACATTATCGTTTTTTCTTCTTTTTAAGATTATTACCAAATATTTTTTTAAGTTGGATTTAATAATAATAAAAAAAAAAAAAACGGCTTTTTGTAGCGATTCAGAAAACCGGAAAAATCAGTTATCTGGAATAGTAATGGTCCCAATCGTTCCGGATAATCGGTTCCCTACTGTACTATTATATTTCCAATGGTAACAAAAGGAAAAACTCTTAACAAATTTTAAAGTACTTTACACGGGTGCCACTCACTAAAAAATTTCAAGACTGAACATATTTTTTTGACCAATTAACACGATCTAATATTGTATATCAAAAATTTATATCTCATTGACTCGAAAATTCAGCTTTCCGTGATAACGGCACATATTAAATCAATGATTTGATTATTTTTCAAACTTTTTTCTTCATTTTATAAATTTATTTTTTTACATCAATTACTGAATTAACTACAAATTTTTCCACAAAGCTATTTACATCTATACTTATTTCTTGTCTTATCTTTAAAAATTTACTCAAAAAAAATCTTAATTTAACTATGAACAGCCTTTCAAAACGCTAGCATAGCTGCCAACATGGATAGATTGTACGAAATATAAATTTCATGATAATTGTTGCAAAATATACTAAATATTTTACACACAGAGAATCTGATGGATTTGTATAGTATTCAAGATAGAAAAACTGCAATATTTTCCAGTTATGATTTCACATTAAATGATCTTGAAATGCTATGCATTATTTTTATTGACGATTTTAAATAGCATGATTTAATTCATGAATGATAGTTAGCTGAATTTTATAAATGAAGCTTATGTATTAATGACACTTATTTAAATATTCAAGCAAGCAATAATCTACACAAAAATTCTATTTCAAAAGGGATGTTTTAAGGTAAGTTACTCAATTTTACAGAATTTTCTTAAATGTTCAAAAACCAGATCATTTCCCACCCAGGACTGAAGAGTGGCACCTTTGGACTGATAAGAATTACTATTTTAACTCAGCTTTAGGGCGCACCTATAAAACTGATAAATATAGGAATGGAGTTTTGCATGTCCTAAACTGGTTTTGGATAGGACAAGTGATTTTAACTGTCCTAAACTAAAACTGTTTTAAAGTGTCCAAACCTTGAACATTGGTAAAAGGTAAAAATTCTATATGTGTAACCATTGTACACATAATAATTACATACATTTATAAATATTTGATACTTTTTATACAATCTACTTTAACTTATTAATGGAAAATAATACAATATAATAGGAAAAGATTTATAACGTTTAAAGCTCCACAATTCATTGAACAACAAAACTGAATACCTAATCCCTTAAATATGCTTTTAATACTGAGAAATTATGTTTTTGCATAAGGATAAATAATACAATATTAACTATAAACCTTTTTAATAAAACAAAAATTTTTCTTTATTCGGTTTCTTGCTCAAAAATTAACCATTTATTTTTCACAAATTTATATTTTTTTTTAAACTGTGGCATAATTTAAATAATAAGGGTTTTGGACAGTTTAAGACAAAGGAAAGGTATTTTAGACAGAATGGTTTAATCCATTCGGTCCTACACCTTGCAAACTCTGGATAAAAACAAATATTTTTCATTTACTTGTCTAAGAAGTTCTTCCTCAGATGCTTCATCATGATCTTCATCTTTTCTTGTGTTTTCCCTCTCTTCGCATCTTTTGAAATGGTTTTCTAAGTATTTAGTTAGAATTTTTATTAACTGTGACATATCATCCTGTGTAAGGCAATGGCAATTCAATACTTCAATGCACTGAAAAAGAACATTAAGAAATATATAATTTTCTGTCGCTCTTTTGTTAAAATATTATTATTATTATTATTTTTGCACAGGTCTTCCAATCCATTCACTTATTAGGAAAAACCCTAAGAGAATACTCTGGTGGCCCGAAATATTGAGGTTGGACACAAAAACCTGAGAGTCAATAGGTATGCATGAATAATGAAACACAGAGGTTCAGGGTAAAGAATGCTCGACTCCTAATGAGATTAGCGAGATTCTAATCCCGGTCAATACAAATTCTGCTGTGAGCTTGCATCGACTACAATAATGACATAAAATATTCTCCACGGCAGACAAACTAAAGGTTCGAACCCCATCATCGTTGGGTTAACCGCAGTAGATTTTCGTGATCTTCCACTCCATATAGCTGCCAACATGGATAAGAAAAAAATCCAGAGATTTCACAAATTAATATAAATTTCATGATAATTATTTCATAATGTACTAAATATTTTATACATAGGGAATTCTAGGGATATCTATACTAATCAAAATTAAATTCCTGTTATGGTTGTCAGTAAAGAAACTTGAAACGTTATGTTTACGCATAATTTTAAATAGTAATATGCATTTAATTTATCAAATATAGTTAAAAGATTTTTTCATCAATTTAAAAAGTTCTGAAAAAAAAATAAACTGAAAATTTTTAGAACAAAATAAAAGGTTCTTAACTGATTTTTACAAATGGTGGCTCACTTCATTCTGTATTATTAGTAATACTTATTTAAGTATTAAAGCAAGCAATAATAACCTGTCCAGAAAGTCCATTTCAATAGGAATTTTTTTAGGAATCTTACTCACAATTTTAGGGAATTTTCTAAAATCTACAAAAACCAGGAGAATATTTATCAGACCAGTGTAAAAAGTGGAAAATCCAGTAGAGTTGGCAGTGATGTACACAATGTGAATTAGTTCCATCAAAAAGTTCTACACCAAGGCTTGAGCTAGGAGTTCCCTTGTCTTCTAGGTACTGTTCAAAATTAACAAGGCTGAGGAGTTTATAGTCGTAAGCCCAAAAATAGTTAAGCTATTCAACATCCACTTAAAATAACTTGCGCCATCAAAATAACTCAAAAATATGAGTTAAGATAAATCTTAAATTGCAAAAGGGTGGAAGGCTGAATTGAAATGAAGGAACGGTACTCACCTGAGCAAAAGCAGACATATGCTCACTCACGACTTCTGGCTCAGGTTCGGCAACGAGAGCTTCTAGAAGGGGTGGCAGAATAAATCTCCACATATTTTGCACATAGGCTTCTCCTCTAATTTTGGCACTTTCTAGAATCCAGGGCAATATTTCAGCTGCAGCTATTCTAACACGTAGAATGTAAGGAAACTAACTACAATTTCAAGCTCATTAACAGGAAAAGATAAACCAGATTTCTATAAATTTCAAAACAATGTTTGAAAAAGATTTGAGAATTACTTGGATGGAAAAAAAAAAGAATTATTTTAAGCATTAAAAAAGTCAATATTTGAATAAAAGGATATCATCATGAAAATAGAATTTCAACATTGGAACCATTAATTGAACTGTCTCCTCAGCATATGCAGCAAAACTTTCCTTCAATTCTTTGGCATAGCACACCAGCATCTGGCAAGCTGTAGCTTTATCTTCTAGACCAGCAGTTCTAATTCCAAAATTATGCTGAAATGAAACAGGGTTTGTTGATTTAAATCAAATGATTTAAAGAAAAAAAATCATTCACTGACTTTTTTTATACACGCATTGATTTAAAAAGTTAAAAAATAGTGTTTTAAATTGATACTTTTCTTAGTTTCAAAATTTATTTTAAATAAATTGCTGCATTAATTAATTTTAGTTAACGAAGTTAAATTTTTAAAAATCTTTGATTTCTGAGATTGAAACTAAAGATTAAAGTAAAATTTTAAGAAAAAAAATTTCAATGAGTACATAGATTTTTTAAACAANTTTTCATCGTTTGGTGATCCAGTGAAGGAACATGCCTGTTCCTTCACTGGTTAGAAACTGTTTTTTGTCTTTTAAACAGAATTTTGATGTATAATATTACTAAAAGTACAAGAAAATTAAAAAATTTCTTTTCATTAACTGGGAAAAAAACCCAGTAAAGGAACGCTTGTTCCTTCACTGGTTTTTCATCGTTTGGTGATCCAGTGAATAAACACCCCCTTATCTCAGTACTTGATTATGTACTTGATTGTGCTTTAAAAAAAATAAAACGTTACTTCAAAAACTATATTTTGAATTCTCTTTTTCACAGTGAGAAAAATAAAACTATTACATGCAATTAATTCCACTTCAAACATATAAATACAAACACTCACCTTATAATTTTTTGAAAGAAACAAGGTGTTACAGAGATAATAACAAATTCAAATATTTTTCCAGAGAAGTCTATTTGACCAGGTAATCCAAATCATTGCTAGATGACTTCCTATTGTTTGGTAGTAAGCTACTGTTACCAATCAATCTAAAGAAAAACTTTCAAATTCTTATTTTTAATCAATATATATGAAATGTTCCTTCCCTGGGTAGTGTTACTTCACTGGTTGGTTTACCCTATATTGATTTAAAAAACAGTGTTTTAAATTGATACTTTTATTAGTTTCTTTTCTCAGTTTCAAAATTTATTTTAAATAAATTGCTGCATTAATTAATTTTAGTTAATGAAATTAAATTTTTAAAAATCTTTGATTTCTGCGATTGAAAGTAAAGATTAAAGTAAAATTTTAAGTATTTTTTTTCTCATAATATGTTTACATTATCTTTGAAATTATCAGATTTTCTGTAAAGAAATTTTAAGAAAAAAAAATTTCAATGAGTATATAGATTTTTTAAATTTTTTTTTATTAGCCTAACTTAATTATTTTGATGAAGATTAAAAAAGAATATTTTAATAAAAATATATAGATTAAATATTTATTTTTTGATGAATAACTACAGTAATAAACACAATCTGTTACATTTATTTTGACATTTTAAAATCAAGAAAAAAAAAAGAAATCAAAATTTTAAATTAAAATTATGGTTTGCTAATTGAAACTTTGTTTTCATAGTTAAAGTATTCTTTAAATTCTCTATTTCATCTAGTCTCTAAATTTCAATCATGCATTTGTTTAAATTTTTTTTTAAATAAAAAAACATTAAAAAAAAATCACTAACCCTGAAATGAAAAGAATAACTTAAATGTTGCAGCAACAACATACACATTGAAATATTATACAAATTTATTTATTTCTGCAAGATTTTAGGAAATAGTTTTTGTTATGGATTCTAGTTCAATAATTTTTCTGTTTCATTTAATTCCTATAAGCAGATATGTTACCAGTAGAGCTGAATTTCTTGAATTCTGTCAATTTTGAAGGTTAGTGTGGGTCTTCTACTTAGGTACCTCAAAACTGCTGCCTCCCAAAAAAAAGTACTATCTTTTCCATGTGCAGCATCACCTTTGTCCACACTATTCTTTTCTTTTAGAATGCTTTACTCTCCTCATTTAAGGCAAAAGCAGAATGCATTAATGAAAGAATCAATATATTAATGAAAGGACATGCTTTCTTCCCCTCGCCTCGATGCTTTACTCTCGATGCATTGTCTAATTCTAAGTGATAAAAGATCGGCATCTTGCTTTAAAAAATTAACTGAAGAATTGTTCCTATCAACAATAGTGATGCTAAAAAATGAAGGACTTTTAAAAACCTTGTACCAAAATTAAGTACCTCTAAGGGGCCTTATTTTCCAAAATAAAAATTAAGCAGTTTTTAAGGACTTTCCAGGACCGTGGGAACCCCGTATTAATAATATTTAAAAAGGAATTAAGAAATTTATAGAATAATTTATAGAGTAATTTACCTTTTCACCTAGATTGACAAACTCCCAGTCATCATCATTTCCAACAACTTTCATATCATCCGCTGAAACATTTAAAGAAGATCAATAAGCAGGATTTTGATTCTTTTTATAATCTGCCCTGCACTAGGAATTAAGGTGTTGCAAGACTTAGACTTTTAAATAGATATTTTTTCCACAGCATTGCAGATCTTTTAATCTGTAGCAAATTATGGAAAGCCATTTTAACACATTGTGAACTGACATAGAAATTAAGCTTTCAATGAGCTGAAGTTAATTCAATTTTTATTTCAACGGAATAATTTAATTGTTCCTTTAATAAGAACAATGTCAATTTGACTTAAAAAATTAAGAGATAACTACAGCAAATTATATGTGTAGTATTTACAAACAATATATTTATAGAATAATGATTTAGATTAAAAAGAGAGAGAAAGAAACAATACTAAATGATACCTTCCAATATACACACATTAACTATAATAACACTTCAACTTACTCACTTTTTCATATTAAAGATAAGCATACAAATCGAGGTAAACGGAGATCAGGAAGTAATAAAAACTATCTTAATAGTGACAAATTAAATGTAAATTTTATTTCTAATCTAGAAAAAGATGTTAACAAGTATTATAATATTAAATCAATGAAAGTCTTTGTTTTCTCCTTTAAGACTAATGATGTATATAAGCTTCAAGATCTTATTAACTTTTCTTTTATTAATTTACACTTCGAAATTCTTTGTTTCGATCTTGTAAAAGGTAAGATGAGTAAAATTTCCCCAAATAAAAAGAAAAATTTAGATAATTTATATTCAGTTATTAATTTTCAAAAACCCTATTTTCGATTACCTCTTATTAAATTCTATTTCAATAGGGATTTTTTTTAAAGTTAGACCATCGAACCATTAGGAATGAGTCTTATACTTGGAATTTCAATCATTAGATCTAAAATTATTCAGGATTTTAGCGCACTGTAAATTTGAACTAACAGTGATTATTAAGAATAATACCAATAAAAGAAAGAAATCTATCTGGCACTGTGCGCTATATTTACAAAAAAAAAATTCTCCGCTCTTGTTTGCACTGACACATTGCATATAAAAATTAACAATTTCTTTGAATGAACATTATTTTGAAAATAAATTACAAGTGGAAAAAAAAAATTATGAGAAAAGTGGAAAAACTTACAATCTAATACGGCTATTTCTGGCCTCAATGATGCTGCTTTTAACACAGGACCCATCACAAATTGAAGATAAGGCTCGAATCCCTTTCCTAAAATTTTGCAGATTCTTGCCCAAGCTGTTATCATGTAGGATAGCTAAAACAAAAATTGTTTTATTTCAGTTTACAAAATAAATATTACAACCTAATTTCCTATAACAAGCACATGCAAATATGCTTATGGAACTTCAATAGCATTTAACATAGTTTTGCCACTTCTCAGCATGAAATTCATGACAACTCTACAAAAATTTCAATTGACCATTACTGAACATATTGTTCTTGATGGGTCATCATCAGATTCCAGTCTTCGAAAAAAGCAATTTTGAGGCATTCATACAAACATCAATAATCTTAGATGGTAGCTTTTATGAGTGGTTTGCAAGAATCATCAGAATCCTGTTCTAGCAAATTCTGGATAAGTCACTGATTAAGTTTCACTTCAGAAAAATGAGTTGTGCACCCATATGACCAATGTTAATAGCCCTAAAAAAATGCTATCCTAGTCCTAAAATATGGAAGGCAGGCACAATCTGGAAAATATGATTCCAATTGCTTAGGCGCAGCGTCATCAAAAGTTTAAACCCCTTTATGGTAATTTCACTTTTTCCATATTTTGCAACATCTCAACAACTATTTAAGCAAACTTTCTTTTAACACTAGAAATACTGAAACTTAGTATATACCTATATTGCCCAAAAGCAGTTAAAATGACTGCATTGTGAAAGAATAACTAATGTGTAAAGAAATTTGTTTTAAATTATTTATAGTTAAGTTATTAGAAATTCTTAGAAATTGTGTCATATACACCATTGCTTTTCTAATTGAAATTAAAAAGCAGTCAAAATGACTTCCTCGGGCAATCTAGTGTTAATATTTATTAAAAAATTCATATATCGGTATATAATTTCAAGTTTAAAACATTTTTTTTTAACTATTTTTTAATTTATTTAATAATAGTTGCAAAAATTGTGAATTGTAAGGTATACCAATTTTTACACTATTTTAAAGAATTAAATTTTAAATGATAAAATACAAAATTTGAACAAAATTGGTCTCATAATTTCTATATCAAAGTTTAAAAAAGTAAAATAATTAAACATTTGTTTTTTCTTTTATTCGTTACTTAAAAGATTGTCTGCACTAGTTCATTAGCATATTTAAAGTTAGTTTCTTATACTATTGAGATTCAGCTTAGTGCGTGAAAATCAGATTATTAGATCAAAAGATGAAATTTGCTTTTCCGGAGGAAACTAACCCGCATTTGAGTTACATGGAGAAGAAAACCACTAAAACCTCCCATGGTTAGCATAACGACAAGGAGACTAACCCGTGATTCGTCTACCACTGAGGACATTTTTTTGTCAGCACTGTGGTTGATACACGCTGGATGCGGAATTTATATCCACCAGTCATCGCTGGGATTCAAACCTGGGTTCACCTCACTGGAAGGTGAACATGCCATCCCTTGAGCCACTACGACTTGTCATGAAATTATTATTTCTTTTTTTAAAGAAAACAGAGAGGATTACTTACTTGAGGATCATCTTCTGATATGACAGCATCAGATGCTTGATTCTTTAATAGTAATTCCATAACATGACTGGCATCAGGAAGAAACTAAATTTAAAAAAAAAAAAATACAGTCACTTCTGTATTTTGAAATTTTTTATGCTATAGCTTTGATGTTTGTTTTTTAAACTTAATCCAAATGCGCTTTAAATATAAACCATCGAGGACTATTTTGCACTTATTACTTATAGATTATGAATCCAATTTTAGTAACACTAAAAAAATTTTACTTAGGCCATTGCTACTAATAATACACATACTAGTATCACGCATGTCAATATTGCAATCATTACTGACAGCTATAATCATTGAATATGATAATATTACAAGGAAAGCTTACACTAAGATTTATCAAAAATTGGTTCTCAATGGCCAAATTTTAAAGATGTTTGAATGGAAATTTATAATACTTTGTTCTTTCATATTCTTAAAGTTTGAATAGATGATTCCGGGTTGCCACAAAAAAAAATGAACAAAATAGTTGCTGAAAACTATGAAAATAGCTGCCTAAATAAGAAAAAAAAATTTCAATAATATGACTAAAATATTATTAAAAGACTTTAAATATACCTTGAGCCATTTAGCCCAGTTGGTAGCAAAAAGGATGATTTTTATATAAACTTTAGTGTTCTGGCACTAAATTCTTATATTAAAAAATAAAATACTTTTAATTACTAAAATGTATTCAAAATAATACTTTTCTTTAAAAAAAAAACTTACTTTTTCTAAAAAATTTTCGCTTTTATCAATATTCAGCAAAAATTTATATATTTAGTGAAAAGTGATTATTTAAATTCAACAATTCGTGCATCGTAATATCATATTAAAAATTGGGGAGTTTAAAATCACGTAGAATTTCGTAGCAATAACTGTTGAAAAGACGACCAAGAAACAATATAGACTTACAATGAAATCTCTGCAAATTGAGGGCATTAAAAAGTGATAACTCAAATTTGCAATTCAAAATTTTAATTATTTCATATTATTTTAAACATAATAAGCTCCTGGGGGTCGCAGGTTATCAACCTAATTTATGCTAAAAACATCACTAGGAGCACAGAAGTCACCTAATAGTTCCTTCTTCTAGAAAATAGCTGTTTTTTATTTAGCCTTTTGTGGCTTTTTTTTTGCCTTTTAGCCTGAAGATGTGTTTTATTATATTAAAAATAAATCCAGAAAATTCTTCGTTTTGACCTTTTAAGTCTTAATTTTTAAGTGAGGAAAAAAAGCTCTGACAGTACAGAGAATAATCACCCCATGTTACATCCAAGTAATCAAATCTTTAGTTTAAACCTTATTCTAAAAAAATTATGCAAATAATCACAGTAAAGTAAAAAAGTAAAGTTCAAATCATACCGCTCAAAGTCATTTTTTAGAGTACTTTTTATTTGTTTATAACTCTGTCAAATACTTATGAAAATTATTAAACTCATTAACCAAAAGATAATTTTGTAAAGAAAAAAAAAAACTTTATAATTATTATTAAAGTTAATAAAAAAAAAATTTTTGTTTTATAAAAATAATTTAAAAGAATGCAATCTTGTAAACTATACAATTTTAACATCCACATTCAAAATTTGAATAAAATGGAATTGATTTAATGATTTCTGGGTTACAAAAATAATTTTCCATGAATGTGGCCAAAAATTATGAAAAAATAATTCTTTTTAAAAAAAATTACATATGAAATACTTTCATTGAATATGGAGAAGAAAAACAAATGGAATTATTTTTAAAAATTAACTGGTGTTTAAAAAATTATACCCATCTTAGGACGATACTCGGTAAGTGAAACAACTTATTCCCCCCCCCTCCTCATTCCAGTTTTGCGAACACGCTGATCCCAGTATTGGCGGGATTTACGAATGAGCATTGCTACGCTATTGACCAAAATCTTGCACTAACCTCAATGACCCCTTTTTGAATCATTGGAAGAGACAACAATATCGGGTACGAGGATGAAAAGTACATGTCACCAAAAATTAAACTCTGCTTCATGAAAATAAATTTTTGCCAACATCTTAAAAATCTGAGGCAATAGAGCGAAACTGTTTTCAGATTTGAAATAAGCAAAATACCTACATTAGAAAAAGTAAACACTGTGTCGGTATCTATAGCTTGTTTATCAGTATTATAGATCAAAAATATAAAATCGATTATAATGCAATATGTCAATTACTGCATATATTATCTTGAGTGCAGGGGTAGCAGCAAAGTTTTTTAAAATTTTAGGGCAATTTTAGGAACTTTTTTAAAAAAATTTTAGGGGTAATATATGATTTCGCTAGGATAAAAACAGATCACACGGTAGTTTATTACATAACAGAAGATTATTACAATTCATCCACACATATCATAAATAATTGCAAGCCATAAAATAAAGCTCTGAAATTTATTAAGTCAAGAATGAAATCTCTAAAGTGTAAAAATGAAATTTCAACTTTACATATTACCTATCAGAAATTAAGTGCATAATTCAGGAACAGGCAAAAGTGAGAATAAATCAAGAGAAAAAATAAATTAACACCAACTTGGATTTTTATTTAATTTTTACCTTCTTAATCAAAACTTTATTATTACCCTTTACCTTACTTTATTAAGAAAAACTATTGTGTGATATTATTAGATTTCAAATCAGCAATTTATATTAGAAGTTAGAGAAAAACAAATTAATCATGATCATTTTTCTAATATATTCTACTGTGAAGATGAGTCCTACAAGT